TAAGGGGAAGTGGGTGATTTCACAAGAAACCAGGTTCCAGGCATTTCTGCAGAGAATTCTGCACCTGGCTGCATAGGAGAGCATGGAAACACATCCAAACCATCACAAACAATTCTGAAACTGATAGGGGGGTCAGGATTAGGTGTGATGAGAGTGCCCTATCAAAATGGGCTCAGTTTCCCAAGAGGAAGTGGGTGATTTTACAAGAAACCAGGTTCCAAGCATTTCTACAGAGAATTATGCACCTGGCTGCAGAGGAGAGCATGAAAGCACATCCAAACCATCACAAAAAAAATCTGAAACTGATAGGGGGGTCAGGATTAGGTGTGATGAGAGTGCCCTATCAAAATGGGCTCAATTTCTCAAGAAGAAGTGGGTGATTTCACAAGAAACCAGGTTCCAGGCATTTCTACAGAGAATTATGCACCTGGCTGCAGAGGAGAGCATGAAAACACATCCAAACCATCACAAAAAAAAACTGAAACTGATAGGGGGGTCAGGATTAGGTGAGATGAGTGTGCCATATCAAAATGGGCTCAATTTCCCAAGGGAAGTGGGTGATTTCACAAGAAACCAGGTTCCTGGCATTTCTGCAGAAAATTATGCGCTTGACTGCAGAGGAGAGCATGAAAACACATCCAAACCATCACAAACAAATCTGAAACTGATAGGGGGGTCAGGATTTGGTGAGATGAGAGTGCCCTATCAAAATGGGCTCAATTCCCCAAGGAGAAGTGGGTGATTTTGTTGATTACATAAACATTTTTTGTGATTCAATCAGCCGATTTCACTTTATACGGGGCACACAAGAATGTTTAGCTTGGAGCTGAAGTGGAACCGGGTTTTATACTTTTGAGACGAAGTCAACTGAGGTCTCGACCAATGGGAGCATTCCATAGGGGAAATGGTGGTGTTTTGAGTGGGAGGGGCGAAATCAGTCCAGTGGGAGCAATGGGAGCAATGGGAGCAAGGCAGGGATAAAAACGTGGTGTTCAGAATGGGAGGGGCGAGCTGAACATCGACCACTGAGGTTGCAGTTCGCTGCTCAAAATGTGAGTTCGAGTTTGGGTGTGTGCAAGTTCGGGTTGAGTGCTTTCTGGACCAATGAGAGCGAGCGGTTCTTGCTCAAGATGCAAGTTCGAGTTGAGAAGTGAGTTTGCAGCTGTTCGTACCACTAGATTTGGGGGAATGGGATTGGCTGATGTTCGTGAGCGTGTTATTAGCGTGTTCGTTAGCGTGTTCGTGATTGTGTTCATTAGCGTGTTAATTCGCGTGCTCAGTAGCGCGAGCGTCATATGCTCGCGAATCGTTTTTCTGCGCAGGTGGGTAGATCACCAAGATTTTGAGTAAGTTCAGTGGTTCACGTTTTTTAGCAGCACTGACCGTTCGGACCAAAAGTAAGTTCAGAACGAGGGCACGTGGCGAGCAGCAGTTGAGCGATCGGATGCAATGCTGATCGCCACCAACATTTCGACTCGTTCAGGTTTTGAGCGGACTTCATCGCAACCATTCGAGATTGGCGCGAAGTGAAATTATCGGATCGGCATCGTCAACAATATTCGCGCGCGAAAGACAAAATATTTCGGCGACGCATCGAGTGCGCGCCAGGTCATGAAGGGAATGGGAGGGAACAATATTCTGCTCGCGCTACGAGGTGTGATTTTGAAACACCTAGATCAAGGTAGGAGTAGAATGATTTAGCTTAGTATAAAAAGGGGGTTGTTCTTATTGTTCCAAAATATAACTTTAGTAAAGGATTTCCCCTGTTCTTGTTGCAAGTACACTGCCTTAGTTCATTCTCTTAACAACGCCAAGGAACGGACGATTGCTTCTACAATTTAGCTGTTGCTACGACTCTCTCTCTACACACTCGGACCCTTGGATAGGGGCTGACCTCGGTCAGGCACCCAAGGACCCTCGGAGGTGACCCCGAGGAGAGAGTTCTAGTGCACCTAAAGGTTGTTAGTAGCTACTCTAGTACGCGTGAACAGTAACAGATTTCACAAGAAACTAGGTTCCATGCATTTCTGCAAAGAATTATGCACCTGGCTGCAGAGGAGAGCATGAAAACACATCCAAACCATCACAAAAAAAACTGAAACTGATAGGGGGGTCAGGATTAGGTGAGATGAGAGTGCCCTATCAAAATGGGCTCAATTTCCCAAGGAGAAGTGGGTATGAACACTCCAAAACAGATTCTGGGCATCTTTGCATAAAAGTCTGCAACTGGGTGCAGATGAGAGCATGAAAACACACCCAAACCTTCCCAAAAAACTATGAAACTGGTAGAAAGTTCAGGACTAGTTGTGATGAGATTTCCCTACCAAAATGGGCTCAATTGCCCAATGCGAAGTGAGTGATTTTACAATAAACCTGGTTCCAGGAAATTCTGCACAGTATTTTGCACCCGCCTGCAGAGAATAGCAGGAAAAACATATCAAACCTCAAGGAAATGAGGTGAATTTGAGAGGGGGATCTGGAATAGGTGTGATGAGAGTGCCATATGAAATGGGCTCGGTTGCCCAAGGAGAAGTGGGTCATTTGACTTGATACATGATTCCAGGCAATTCTGCACAGAATTCTGCACCCGCCTGGAGAGAACAGCAAGAAAAAACATATCAAGCCCCAAGGAAATGAGGTGCATTTGAGAGGGGGATCAGGAATAGGTGTGATGAGAGTGCCCTATGAAGTTCACCTGGTTTGCCCAAGAAGAAGTAGGTTATTTCACAAAAAGCCTCAATTAAGGCAATTCTGCACAGAAATATGCAACCGTCTCCAGAGGAGAGCATGAAAACACATTCAAACCTTCAGAAAGAAATCTGAATTTGATTCGGGGGTCGGGAATAGGTGTGATGAGAGTGCCCTATGAAATTCACCTGGTTTGCCCAAGGATAAGTAGGTCATTTCACAAAAAGCCTCATTTCAGGCAATTCTGCACGGAAATCTGCACCCGTCTCCAGAGGAGAGCATGAAAACACATCCAAACCTCCAGAAAAAAATATGAACTTGATAGGGGGGTCAGAAATAGGTGTGATGAGAGTGCCCTATGAAAATCACCTGGTTTTCCCAAGGAGAAGTAGGTCATTTCACAAAAAGCCTCATTTCAGGCAGTTCTGCACAGAAATCTGCACCCGTCTCCAGAGGAGAGCATAAAAACCATAGCAAACCTTGATGAAATGAAGTGAAAACTGGATGGGGATTTGGATTAGGTGTGATGAGAGTGCCCTCTCAAAATGGGCTCATTTGCCAAAGGGGAAGTGGGTGATTTCACATGAAACCTGGTTCCAGGCAATTCTGCACAGAATTCTGCACCCTCCTGCAGAGGAGAGCATGAAAACCATAGCAAAATTTGATGAAATGATGTGACAAATGGATGAGGATCTGGATTAGGTGTGATGAGATTGCCCTCTCAAAATGGGCTCATTTGCCCAAGGGGAAGTGGGTGATTTCACATGAAACCTGGTTCCAGGCAATTCTGCACAGAATTCTGCACCCTCCTGCAGAGGAGAGCATAAAAACCATAGCAAAATTTGATGAAATGATGTGACAAATGGATGAGGATCTGGATTAGGTGTGATGAGATTGCCCTCTCAAAATGGGCTCATTTGCCCAAGGGGAAGTGGGTGATTTCACAAGAAACCTGGTTCCGGGCAATTCTGCACAGAATTCTGCACCCGCCTACTGAGGAGTGCATGCAAGCCATAGCAAACCTTGATGAAATGAGGTGAGAACTGGATGGAGATCTGGTTTAGGTGTGATGAGAGTGCCCTCTCAAAATGGGCTCATTTCCCCAAGGAGAAGTGGGTGATTTCACAAGAAACCTGGTTCGAGGCAATTCTGCACAGAATTCTGCACCCGCCTGCAGAGGAGTGCATGCAAGCCATAGAAAACCTTGATGAAATGAGGTGACAACTGGATGGGGATCTGGATTAGGTGTGATGAGAGTGCCCTTTCAAAATGGGCTCATTTGCCCAAGGGGAAGTGGGTGATTTCACAAGAAACCTGGTTCTAGGCAACCCATCACTATGTTTCTTGTAAGAAAAGTACACCAAATCTGTTTGCATTGAGCTGAATTTTTTCTGGGGGGCTGGAACAGGTGTCATAACACTAACAAACCAACACAAAATGGTCACCACATAACACATGTGTATGATGCCCAGAGAATGACTTTGCAAGTGCTATCAACAACCAAGTGACAAAATGAATGAATTTTGCCAAAAAAAAAAAAAAACAAAATCATGTCCGCTGGTAGAGGACATCAAGGAGATGCTGGAAATATAGATTTGGGGGGAAATGATCCACAAAATATGGAGTTATGAGCCAAACCATATTGAATTCTGACTTAGCCATTTTGACTTTCTGCTTGTCAGAATTACACCAAAGAGTATACAACAAAAGTTTATACATAAGAACTGTTGAACAGTGGTTGCGACGTCACTTTCGTGCGACCGTCGATAATCCAAACCGGTAGTGTAACCACTCTTGCGCGCATTTCGTTGCGCCATCAGGTGGTTTGGATTTTAGAAGAAACAGGTGAGAAGTGGTTGTGGCGAAAACAACGAAACGAGGGCGATGGTACCAGGCGAGAAGGAATTGCGCGGGAAAACGTGCTCAGTGCTGCCGGCTGGGTGTGCTGCGAACTATCAATCGTGCTCAGTCGTTTTTGCTTTCAGAGGTGGCGAAAACCACATCAGTTATCCAAAGCAGCCCATTCCAGAATCCTACATGCCTGATGCGTGAGTCCATATTCTTTTTGGGAAAACCGCTAGATGAGCCGCTAGATCTATTTATCAGTTCCCAGCTTATCTTATGGGAAGCCAACCGTTTAGAAGACCGAAGCTTGGCGAGTTCGGGGTAGACGGCTATTCTCGCGATTTGTTTTCCAACAAGACCAGAGAGCTCCTCGCGGAATTGCTATTGCTGCTTGACTGAAACCAAACGTCGTTAGCAATGTGGTATTAGTTAACGATTAGGGTTCCACGTGCAGGAAGTGGCTTAGCATGCTTGAGTCGTTTAAAAAGACGTTTGTAAGGAGTCGGGAAAAGCAGGGTAAGACAGACGCAGCGTCGCACAATGCAGGCAATGCAGCAGCAGCTGCGGCAATCGCCACTTGGGGGGGACCGGACGCCGGAAAGGCGGAATGCTCGTTTCCGTCTCCAGGCGGCACGAATCCGACGGCTTCCGTTCGTCGCGACCCGAATGAAGAGATTGCGCAGGCGAGCTTGCCGCCTTTTGCGGAGCTGCCGCTGTTAAATGACGTGGGTGTGCAGGAGAAGCAGGCCCTATTCATCCGGAAGCTTCGTCTCTGCAGTTACCTCTTCGATTTTAACGACCCCATGAAAAACGCGACGGAGAAGGAGATTAAGCGGCAAACGCTGCTCGAGCTAGTCGACTACGTTGGTCGTGGAACCGGGAAAGTCAACGAGGCGGTATTCGAAGACATCGCGCGCATGCTGGAGATCAATCTCTTCCGGCCGTTACCGCTGTCCGCGCACGCGATTTCTGGGACGGAACCTAAGGGCCCGGAGGAAAAGAAGCCGACTATGGAAGCCGCGTGGCCGCACCTGCAAATAGTCTACGATTTCCTGCTTAGGTATGTCGTCTCTATAGACACCCACCAGAAGGATGCGACGCGTTACATCAACCAGAAATTCATCTTAAAGCTGCTGAACCTGTTAGACTCGGAGGACCCTCGCGAGCGGGAGTGCGTGAAGACCAGTCTGAACCGGATTTACGATAAGTTCAAGGTCCACCAGCCGTTCATCCGCAAAGCGATTGGCAACATTGTTCACCAATTTATTGAGTTGGAGCGTCATAACGAATTTATGCTGCCGCTTGGGGAGCGGGAAAAGCAGTTCCTAGAGCGGGCGCTGGCTCCGCTGCACAAGCTGAGGTGCCTGCCTATGTACCAACATGAGCGATCGTTCTCCATCATTCAGTTTTTGGAAAAATACCCGGAGCTCGCGGAACCAGTGCTGCGCGGGTTGCTTAAGTTCTGGCCCTTAACTGACAGCCAGGAGGCGGTGCTGTTTCTGGAGGAGTTGGAGGAGGTTTTGAAGGAGACTCAGTTGCCGGAGTTTCAGATGGTCATGACGCCGCTGTTCCAGCAGATCGCATGCTGCCTCAGCTCCTCGCACTTCCAGGTACGGTGGGATGTTTTTGGTGCATTGGGAGGGAATGTGAGGGGTTGTGGGAAGGTGTTATGGCATGCATTTTCACGCAGTCGCCCGAGTATCAGATGGCCACGACGCTGCTGTTCCAGCAGATTGCGTGCTGCCTCAGGCCCTCGCACTTTGAGGTACGGTTGGATGGGTTGTGTCGGGGTGTGGTGCAGTGCGAGGGGATGTGAAACGGTGGTGGGTGTGAGGGGGTGTGAGGGGGTGTGAGGGGGTGTGGTGGGGTGAGAGGAGGTGTGAGGAGATGTGAGGGTGTGTCATGGCATGCATTTTTTAGCAGACGCCCGAGTTCCTGACATTCATGACGCCGCTGTTCATGCAGATTGTGCGCTGCTTCGGCTCCTCGCACATCAGGTATGACGCTCCCGCCCAATTCAGTTCAAATACGGTATGGTGCGGTGTAATATGGTTGTAATGGGGTGATATGCATTCTCGCTGAAGGACGCGAGATGTTACTATGGTCATGGTGCTGCTGTTCCAGCATATGGCATTCCAAGTTTGGCATTCTTAAAATAAAACTACGGGTCCTTTTTTTGGCTGTACGTTTTGGGGACGACATTAGGGTTTGGCCGATGTGATGGCTGCTGCCGCCTGTCTGTCGCGTCATGTGGTTCACACCAATGGTCCCCAACTTTGGTCGCTTCCCCCATCTCTCTTCTGCTTGTGTCTTCTTCCCCCCTCACTCTTCTGCCTGTGTCCGCGTCGCCTTCCCACGCGCTTTCTGTGATTACCGATTTCATTCCCTCTGATCTTCGCCCTGCCCTTCCCGCTCCCCCCTGACAGCTTCCCATGTCTGAGTGGCAATGGCCCATTGCATGGCCGTTATGCCCCAGCCCATACATCTGCCTTGCCTAGCTGTCATGCCTCATAAGTCATGCCTCACATGTCATCGTGCCTCATATGCCATGCCTAGATGTCATGCCTCGTAACTCATGCCTCATATGTCATCGTGGCTCATATGCCATGCCTAGATGTCATGCCTCGTATGTCATGCCCCACGTGTCATGCCCCACATGTCATGCCCCATATGTCATGCCCCACATGTCATGCCCCATATGTCACGCCCCACATGTCATGCCCCATATTCCACCTTGCCCCCCCCCCCCCCAACCTTCGCCTTCTGCCTTCAGATGGTGGAACAACGACTGCTTGTTGATGCTCGTGGCTCAGAACTCTTATGTCTCACCCTCCACCCTCCCCCCTTTCCCCCCAACGCTATCCCCTTCCCCTTCTGCCTTCAGATGGTGGAACAACGACTGCTTCTTGATGCTCGTGGCTCAGAACTCTTATGTCTCACCCTCCACCCTCCCCCCTTTCCCCCCAACGCTATCCCCTTCCCCTTCTGCCTTCAGATGGTGGAACAACGACTGCTTCTTGATGCTCGTGGCTCAGAACTCTTATGTCTCTCCCTCCACCCTCCCCCCTTTCCCCCCAACGCTATCCCCTTCCCCTTCTGCCTTCAGATGGTGGAACAGCGACTGCTTCTTGATGCTCGTGGCTCAGAACTCTTATGCCTCTCCCTCCACCCTCCCTCCTTCCCCCCCAACGCAATCCCGTTCCCCTTCTGCCTTCAAATTGCGGAACAGCGACTACTTCGTGGCGCTCGTGGTGGCGCACATTACCGCTTCATGTGCGCCCTAATGCTAAGACCCACGTGCCATACCTACCCATGCCCCACCCCGTGCCTGTTCTCCCCGCTCTTCAGGTGGTAGAGCGCACGCTGCGCCTGTGGAACCATCACTACATCAAGGCTCTCGTGGCTCGGAATCACACCACCATCATGCCCCTCATCTTCGCTGCCATCATGCGCAACATCAATCGCAAGTGGAAGCACCAGGACAGCAAGGTATGGTGTGGGCAGTGAGGGTGGTGTAGTGCTTGGATTGTTTCTGAACTGTGGATGTGGCTGCAGCAAGGACTTCCTATGGCTGTAGCACGGACTGCATGTGGCTGTAGTAAGGACTGAAGCCACCGGAACCGTGTAGAGTGTGCGCAGTGAGCCCTGTGTAGTGCTTGGATTGCTTCAGAACTCAAATGAGCGATTGTTACAGCTGCAGGTGCAGTGCAGTGTAGGCCATGACTGTAGCACGTGCTGTAGCCACTGGCTGACAAGTTGGCATTTGGAATTACCGAACCGAACCGGTTCGTAAACGAACCGATTTCTGGCCAGCTGGTTCAAGGTTCGTTAATTCATATAACGAACGAAACAGATTCGCCCTAACTGGTTTGGTTTGTTACCGAACTGGGCTGGTTCGGTTTTGCACATGAATTTTGCTTTAGTCACATCGTCTCTGGGAGAATTTCTCAAAGTCCCTTTTTCCAACAAAGTCCAGATCTACTCACAGAAACAGATTGCTCGCAACCCTAAGTGGAACCAGCTGGTATATCGGTAAAGGTATCCCAAATAGGACAATTCTGGCAATACTCATCTTCCTCCTTTCCTTCCTGCCTACATTCACAATCAGTTTGGTCCCATGGGGTGGGTGGTGTGAAAAGAACGGCCAAACTAAAAACACCACCTGGAACCGTATCATTATGTCTTCACTGTTAATAATAATAGTAATAGTAATAGTAATAATAATAATAATAATAATAATAATAGCAGCAGCAGCAGCAGCAGCAGCAGCAGCAGCAACAACAACAATAATAATAATAATAATAAGAGAAACACAATAAGTTTTTTTTTTTTTTTTTTTTGGTTCTCGGCACCCTGAGCCACTAGAATCTTGTAGGGTGCAGTGGTCCTGTTCTAGTGACCAGTTTGCCTGTCAAACGAGCAATGGTGCAAATGAATCCCAAAGGTGGTTCTTGCAGCTGCAGGTAGGGATGAGCAAAAAAACGAACACCTGTTCGGTTCGCCTCGAACGTGGTAATTTTTTTTGGCTTAAAGTGTTCGCCGAACAGTGTTCGATGTTCGCCCGAACACGTTCGTGTTCGGGCCGCTGCTGCAATTTGCCCCGCGAGGAACACGAACGTGTTCGAGGTTCGCCCGAACACGCCTTCACAGGCGAACGGCAAACACCATTTTATGCTCAAAGTGTTCGCCGAACCGAATAGTGTTCGGTTCGGCAGACGGCGGTGTTCGTGTAGGGGCGAACACGAACGTGTTCGTGTTCGCCCCTTGCTCATCCCTAGCTGCAGGTACAGGGTGGGCCATGGCTGTTACACAGAGTGAAGCCACTGGAACGAGACAAGGCGACAGCTGCAGTAGACATGGGCAGAGGAGTCAAGTCTTGATCCCACGTTGACTCTCTTGACGTTTGGGGTTTATGCATTGCTGTACCGTTTAGTTGAGGGCAAGCTGGTGAGTTGCTTGACTTCGTTCGAGCTGCGACGACTTGAGGTGACAAGCAAAATCGGCTCCAATAACTCGATTAATGGGGGAATCTATTCCACATTGTCCTCAGTAATACACCCAACCACCATAAGCCATTACTTGCCACTAACCTAACTTCTCAGTTCTAGTGTGCAGGTTTTGTTTTATTATGTTCTTTGAATTCAACAACTTAACACCTGGCCGTGGAAGTATACATGGCCTAAAACGCCATTGCCCAAATGCCATTCCCTCAACCTCCTTGTTCACCTTTACTCTCACTGTTTGAGATTATTGGGGCTCCTTCTACTTGTGTCTCCCACGTTTTTCATTACCTCCTCATCTTGCACCCAATGTGACTCGTAACGTGTAAGCTCATTATGAGCCATTACATGCTTGTCTGTCCTTGCCAACTTAACCCTCTCCCATCGCATCTCCTTTTGCTTCTCCCACATAACCCCACGTCTCCATCGTCTCTCCTATACATGGTCAAAGTGACGAGTCGAGCAATACTCGACTCGTCCATGGTCTTGCTCGACGAGCTTTTGCTCCGAGTCGAGCAAAACTTTGACGAGCAATTTTCAGCATTTTGCATACTCGGGACTCGTCGTTTTAGGGCATGCTCGGGCGAGTTTAGGGGAAAGCTCGTCCGAGCACAAGACATGCTCGACTCGCCACTCGCAAGCACTAAGTTTCCACGGACGCGTCCAGCTAGCTAAGTGGGGATTATTGGAGTAGACTAGCGGGGGAGGGAAGGAGGTTGTGTGATGGGCCATAGGCTGGCAAGCGCAAGGAACGATGTGGCTTTCTGAAGTGACGGGATCTGAATCTGGATCTTGAATCTGGATCTGGTGGTTGGGTTTTGTAGATTCAGTGCGGTGAAGAGAGGTAAGTGGTGGCGAATTGGTTGGGAAATCAAGTGGCAATTTAGTTGGAAAGGCATATTCGTTTTGTCCGACCAGAAGAAAGATCTGAGCGTAGTGATTGACACGACCAGTGGCAGTCTCCGTAGCGCAATTGCTGGCGAACCCCGCGGATTGACGGGCGAAATCACCGATCCGCGCGGATTGACGGGCGAAATCGCCGATCCGCGCGGATTGACGGGCGAAATCGCCGATCCGCGCGGATTGACGGGCGAAATCGCCGATTCGCGCGGATTGACGGGCGAAATCGCCGATCCGCGCGGATTGACGGGCGAAATCGTCCGCGAGTAAAAAAAACTCGTTGAGCACGTAATCTCCACGAAAATGCTCGTCCCCCAAGGCGAGCAAGCGACGAGTAGATAAAACTCGTCGAGTAAAACTCGCCTCGCCTCGGGCGAGTTTTTTTCCCAAAAAACCAGGCTCGTCACTCGTCCCCCAATGAGCATTTCGAACGAGTCGAGCAAATACCCTACACTCGTTGCCCATGTATAGTCTCTCCAATTGCTCACCCTCAACACCCCCCCCCTCCTCTTCATCCTCTCCTGCTCTCCTCACCCTCATATCCCCCCTCCTTACTCTCCTCTCCGCCCTTGTCTCTCTCCTCTCCCCCCTCCAATCTCTCCTCTTCCCCCTCCAATCTCTCCTCTCCCCCTCCTCTCTCCCCTCTCCTCCTCCTTTCACTCCTCTCCCGCTCCTCTCTCCCCTCCCCCCTCTTCTTTCTCCTCTCCCTTTCTTCTCTCTCCTCACCCCCTCTTCTCTCTCCTCTCCCCATTAGAGATGAGCATTTGCCCCGCTCGGGTCGGGCCGGCCCGACCCGACCCGTGGTTTAGCACGGGTCGGGTCAGTGGTTTCATTTTCCTGCCCCGTACGGGCCGACCTGACCCGACCCGAGCAAAAACCCGACCTGAGCATGGAACTCGGGCCGGGCCGGGTCGGGTTTCTAGGTCATAATGTTGCCGAGGGGTTTTTTATCCCCTCGACAGCAAAGCTTACCCAATCTCAATCTTGCCTAACGGCAGCAGGCACAAGCTACACGTTTTACTAGTGTGACTTCAATTCACAAGCTAAACGCCTCGTCTTAGGCCAGTTGTTGCTCATAGGCGCGCCAGCACATACCATTGCAACATTTTGTAGAGGTTCTTAGGGGCCGCGTGCAGGGTTTAGGGGCGGGTCAGACTGGCCCGACCCGACCCGACCCATGACCGGGTCCCAGTTGACCCAAGGGCCAAGGGTGTAGGCCCGGGCCGGGCCAAAATCATTCAGGAACCTGGCCCGAGCCTGGCCCGACCCGGGAGCCCGTGTAGCCCAGCCAGGTCGGGTCGGGTCGGGCCGGGCCAGGCCATTTGCTCATCTCTACGCCCCATCCTCTCTCTCATCCCTCCTTTCTCTCGCCTCCCCCTTCTCTCTCCCCCCTCCCCATCGTCTCTCTCCTCTCCCCCTCCTCTCTCTCCTCTCCCCCTCCTGCCTCTCCTTTCCCCTTCCTCTCTCTCCTCTCCGCATGCTCTCCCTCTCCACTCTACTTCATCTTCCCCCTCCCCTCCCTCCTTACCTCCACTGCGCAGACAGACTTGGAATGCAGTAGAAGAGTCTAGCGAGTGTAGCTCGTACATGTAGTCTCGCTGTGCGCGCTCATCCCAATGAGTAGTCATTTTCGAGGTGGAAGAGAAGGTTTGGAAGAAATCCACTCCTTTGCACTGACTGAAGTTTCTGCCCGGAATGATTCCCAGCTCCTACAAACCCCAAGAGTCGAGGTACAGTGATGTGGAACAGTGCCACACTGCCCCCAACCAAGAAGGGTCTCGAGACTACACACCACAAGGGCCTACACCAACTGAAATGTTACACTGCACAAAGTAATGTAACTATTTGCAGTAACACGCCTTGAAGAGAAGCGACGATCAGGCCGCCGTTTCTATCAGGACCTAAGCTTAGAATCCATGCATTAGTAATGAGCTTGAAGCTCTTTAAGTGCATCCAGGATGGGCCAAGTATGGATGGGGAAAGGAATCGGGGGCAATCTCTAAGGATTGGGGGTAATTTCAAGGCAATCTCCAATTTGAAGATGACATTTGAATTTGGTTGGGATTTGTAGGTGTACACCCAGCCAAACACAAAGTGCAAACTACACAACGCTAGAATTAGGGATGAGCAAAAAAACGAACACCTGTTTTTGCTTAAGGTGTTCGCCGAACCGAACAGTGTTCGGTTCGCCAAACAGGGGTGTTCGTGCATGGGCGAACGCGAACACGTTCGTGTTCGCCCCTTGCTCATCCCTTGCTAGGACATTGAAAGTACAAAATACATAGTGTGAGATTGAGGGCTAACACTGACAGCGTACCTTGATAATTCACATGCCATCGACTATGTTCGCCCCGGGAGAGAGACTCCGTCGACATACGTGTCTG